CAGGGACCTCCCTATTTGCGGCTAACGCTTGCCTCCGGTATCCTCATTTTCTGAAGTGGCCATTTCCATCCATGTGGTCCTCCACCCTCCTATGTTTACTGTCTCTGTTACTAGTATCTGGTGGAAGGGGCAGGGGAGGTAGTGGGCTGGAGCTGGTGGGAAACAATGAGGGGGGGAAGGGAAGTGAAGAAGGCCAGCATAATGGGCAAGACAGAACGTCAACATCCCAAACAGCTGGTGAAATTGTGATTAAGACCCTAGCCAGGAATAGCGGCATGGAGGAGGGGAGGTGTTCCACTAGCCGAGGGGCCCCCATAGAGGTCGTGGTGGGAAGGAGGAGATGCGGGAAAAGGAGACTTCAAATTCGGCCTAATTCGGACCGCTTATCCATAATCAAAATTCCAAATCGATCTCCTAAGGTAAATTAGTGTAACCAGGTGAGCGGACCCTCTGGACTGAAGGTGGTGCTGTTGAACGCCAGATCTGTCAACGGAAAAACAACTTGGATCCAGGACTTAATCCTGGACGAACGGGCAGATCTGGCGTGCATCACGGAGACCTGGTTGGATGAAGCTGGAGGAGTAAATCTGACCCAGCTTTGTCCTCCGGGTTTCTCCGTGCAGCACCAACCTAGATCCGGAGGGCGGGGAGGCGGGGTTGCAGTGGTCTATAGGGATTCCATCCATCTGACCAGGTGCCCCATCCCGCAGACCGCAAATTTCGAAAGCGTCTACCTGAGGGTGGGTGACCGGGACAGTATAGGGATTCTAGTAGTGTACCGTCCACCTCGCTGCACTACAGTCTCCCTACCTGAGCTAGCGGGGGTGGTCTCGAGCCTGGCGTTGAAGTCTCAACGGCTTCTTGTGCTGGGAGACTTCAATATCCATGCCGAGGCGACCCTCACAGGAGCGGCTCAGGACTTCATGTCTGCCATGGCAACCATGGGCTGTCCCAACAAATATCTGGCCCCACCCACTGTGCTGGACACACATTGGACTTGGTTTTCTGCCAGGGATGGGAGCAAGGTGGCGGTGTGGAGGAGTTGTCCATCTCTCCGTTGCCATGGACCGACCACTTCCTGATCAGATTTAGGCTCACTGCCCCCCCTAACCTCCGCAAAGGTGGAGGACCCATTAAGATGGTCCGCCCCAGGAGGCTTATGGATCCGAATGGATTCCTGACGGCTCTTGGGGATTTTCCCGCCACCTCGGTAGGTGACCATGTCGAGGCCTTGGTCGCTCTCTGGAATGGGGAGATGGCCAGGGCAATTGACATGATCGCTCCGGAACGTCCCCTCTCAAGTAGCCGAGCTAAACCAGCTCCTTGGTTTACTGAGGAGCTGGCAGTGATGAAGCGAAGGAAGAGGGAACTAGAGAGCGTGTGGCGTTCGGAACCGAGCGAGTCAAACCGAGCACGGTTTGTGTCCTTTCTTAGGGCATATGCCGCGGCAATAAAGACCGCAAAGAAAACTTTCTTTGCGGCCACTATTGCGTCTGCAAAGAACCGTCCGGCGGAGTTGTTTCGGATTGTCAGAGGTCTTTTAACTCCCGCCTCTGCAGGCGGGAGCCCTGACAATTCGGTCACGCGCTGTGAAGCATTTGCTCGGTTCTTCGCAGACAAAGTCGCCTTGATCCGTTCTGGACTGGACGCCGCGTTAGATGCAGACTCTGTGGATGTAACGAGAGCACCTGCTTGTCCTATTTTGTTGGATTCTTTTCAGTTTGTGAAACCTGAGGATGTGGACAAGATACTTGGAGGAATGAGGCCCACCACGTCCATCCTAGACCCCTGCCCATCCTGGCTTCTGAGAGAGGCCAGAGGGGGATTGGCCGAGTGGGTAACAGTGGTGGTGAATGCCTCCCTTCGGGAAGGCAAGATTCCAGCGAGCCTAAAACAGGCTATCATAAAGCCGCTGTTGAAGAAGCCATCACTGGACCCCACTAAATTGGACAACTTCGGCCTGTTTCCAATCTCCCCTTTTTGGGCAAAGTCATGGAAAGCGTGGTGGCCTCACAACTCCAGGTATTCTTGAGAGACACGGATTATCTGGATCCGGCACAGTCTGGTTTCAGACCGGGACATGGTACCGAGACGGTCTTGGTCGCCTTAGTGGATGATCTGCGCCGGGAGCTAGACAGGGGGAGTGTGTCCCTGTTGGTGCTCCTGGACCTCTCAGCGGCCTTCGATACCGTCGACCACGGTATCCTTCTGGCGCGCCTTGCGGAAATGGGTCTTGGGGCATTGCTTTGCAGTGGCTCCGGTCATTTCTGGAGGGTCGCCCCCAGTTATTGGGGGACTCCTGTTCCGCACCACAACCTTTGACTTGTGGGGTGCCACAGGGTTCCATACTGTCCCCCATGCTATTTAACATCTACATGAAGCCGCTGGGTGAGATCATCCGGAGTTTCGGGGTGCGGTGTCATCTGTACGCAGATGATGTCCAACTCTGTCACTCCTTTCCACCTGCTACTAAGGAGGCTGTCGAGGTCCTGAACCGGTGCCTGGCCGCTGTAATGGTCTGGATGGGGGCGAACAAACTGAAACTAAATCCAGACAAGACAGAGATACTCCTGGTCAGTCGCAAGGCTGAGCTGGGTATAGGGTTACAGCCTGTGCTGGATGGGGTCGCACTCCCCTTGAAGGCGCAGGTTCGCAGCTTGGGTGTGATCCTGGATTCATCGTTGAGCCTGGATCCCCAGGTTCAGCGGTGACCAGGGGAGCATTTGCACAGCTTAGGCTCGTGCGCCAGCTGCGCCCGTACCTTCGGGAAGTCTGACTTGGCCACGGTGGTACACGCTCTGGTCACATCCCGCCTTGACTACTGCAACGCTCTCTACGTGGGGCTGCCCTTGAAAACGGCCCGGAAGCTTCAGCTAGTCCAGCGCGCGGCAGCCATGTTACTAACAGGAGCGGGACGCAGGGAGCACACAACGCCCTTGTTGTTCCAGCTCCACTGGCTGCCGATCTGCTACCGGGCCCAATTCAAGGTGCTGGTGCTGGCCTACAAAGCCCTAAACGGTTCCGGCCCAAAATACCTTTCTGACCGCATCTTGGCCTATGAGCCCACGAGGACCTTGAGATCGTCTGGGGAGGCCCTTCTCTCGATCCCGCCTGCATCACAGGCACGGCTGGCGGGGACGAGGGAGAGGGCCTTCTCGGTGGTGGCCCCCCGGCTTTGGAACACTCTCCCGGCACACATTAGACAGGCGCCCTCCCTCATGTCCTTTCGAAAAAGCCTTAAGACCTGGCTATTCGAGAGGGCATTTAATTAGTGCTAGCAACAACATTACGGTAATGAGAACTGGATTGGTATAAGGATGATGAGACTGGTCTATGATTCTACAAAGAGACGAAGCGGATTTTTATGTAGTTTGTACTTGTTTGTATAGCTATGTGTTGTGGATACTAACTTTTGTAACTGTCTTTTTATGTGTACTGTACACCGCCATGAGTCGCCCGTAAGGGCTGAGAATGGCGGTTAATAAGTGCATCAAATAAATAAATAAATAAATAAAACAGCACACCAACACAAAACAAAGTGGGGGGGGGGAGAGGGAAATATTTGAACACAAAATTGTGGAAACAAGTTCTTCATATATGTGGATTCAGTGTCCAACTGAAAACTGGCCACGTGACTCTCAAACAAAATATACAATTTCAAACTCAAACCTGGGGACTGCTGAGTGGTTTATTCCCCATTTTCTTCACAATCATCAGTTTACTGAAGTTAGTGCTGAGGATGCAAGACTTTATGAAATTTAGGTCATCATAGCTCTATTATATAACATACTAGACTGTGTGCAGCATACCCAAATTCTGCCTCTCTCTATCCAGAAGCAAGGAACACACAGCAGCTTATCTCTCGCTAGTGACTTATAATGGTAAAATGTATTCTGAGTTTGGGGTTGTGTAAGGGAGAAAGGGAAATTCAGAATATATTTCCCTTGGAGGGGAAAAACTATTTTTAAAAAGAAACCATCCCAGAAATTCTGTGCTGAATCTAGAGTGGGGAACGAAAAGAGGGAAGGGAAAAAAGAGGGGAGGGAAAAGAGGGAAAAGAAAGGGGAAGGATGTAAGTAGTAGATTCTACTCCAGCAGGAGGCTGGCATAAGATCAACAGTTCCTTGCTTTCCAGAATTGGGGAACATCATTGCCCCCTAGCATAGTGCTTTATAAACTTGTTGATGTAGTGGACCAGCAGGGGTTTCTCCCCAATGTAACAGGAATCAGCACCATATGTTCAAGTAGGTAAGACACAACCTATGGTAGACTCAGGGTCTCTGCCCTAACTGGGCCAATAGCAACATCAACTCCTGACTTTACCAGAGGCCCAACATCATTTTGCTGACAGTAATATTGTCAAACCATTTAGCAATTCTGGCATAGACAGCATGCAATTTATCTGGGTTCTCATTATCCTTCTTCTCACTATCCTTGGTTTTGCTGTAAATTAGAAGTGGACCTGTGGGGTGCTGTGGGTGGGGATAGGTCTTGTCCATGGTATAGGCTCACTGACAATTGTCTGGAATGTCTGTTTTCAGGGGGCTGTCATAAAGACAACCTGCTAGGCTGCAAGTTTTCCAATTAGACACAGCTTTAACTTCTCATGGGTCATATCGTGCTGCAATTTCCTAGTTGGATATCCTGGGCCTTTGTAGAGATTATACCACGATTCACAAATGTGTGCCATGGAAAGGAAAGAGGCCTTGAGTTAAGTTCCCTTTGTCGGCAGTTTCACTGTATCTACAGCAGAAAATAACTCGATTCACCCCGAGAATGAAGTGAACGAGGGCTTGGAAAAATGTATTTTTAGACTGAAGTTTCCAGAGTTTGTCAGCTCCAATAGGCATTATGTTCCAAAAAAAGCCTGTTTCTTGCTATGGTCAATGTCCAGACCTAAACACTTAACTGCCCACCAAAGCCACGAGTGTCAGAGGAAATACTCGATGGAGCTCAGTCTTGATTTGCACAAGGACTCCTATACATCTATGTAAAAGTACTTTGTACATCGTGGAACGGAGGAATTTATTTGCAAGTTACCTTGATACTGTAAATAAGCTTCCTACCAGAAAGCTGTATAAAAGTAAAGAGAAAAGAAAAAGAGAGAAAAGAATTTGCTACTCACTTAATTTCTACTGGGAATTTGTTTCTCTCATAGTTCTTTTCAGTACATTTATATAAGACAATTAGGCTGGCTCAGAAATAAAATGCTGGTATGGAAAAATTAGCAATCACCTAATTCTTTTTGCTAGAAGTCATGTAGATAAAATGCATGTGCTATATCTTAAGAAGATGAAATACTCCCAAACTAGGAACTTGAGCAGTACTAACAAATGGAGGGAGTAGGAAATAGTGGAGTTCAAAATACAAACTAGAAAACTTATGTAAGAGGGTGAAACACAGGGGAAGCTTAGCATGGATTTATTTAAGAGATGACCTGCTGATTTAACATTCATTGGGGAAACCTTTAAAAGCAAACAGATATTTGAAAACACAGAATGACCTAAAAATCTAAACTAAAAAGTATGTAGATGTACATAACTGGGATTTTAAAAGCAATGAATAAAACCAGGAATTAACGATCGAAAAGAAATATGGATGAGAGCCAACATATTGGTTGCCCGTTCTACCTTCAAAATGCCCTTTATGATAAATATTTCTACTCAGCTTAATCCCACTTCCACCCAAAGATTATATTTCTCTATAAGAGCCAGCCTGAATTTAAACATCTCCAAAGAAGGGCTTTCTCTTGGGCCCACCACTAACCCAAGCCCTTCTGCTGAGGATGAGGGGTCCTTTCCAACTGCTGATTCCAGGCTAAAGAATTTTCTACAACTGGAGTTCCTGGGGTCTTCCTCTTTGCAAAAAAGCAAAGCCCTTTTATTTGGGCAGGGCTTTAGTTTTAAATTCATGTCACTGAGGGATGCTCTAAATGCATTGTACTGTGCTTTTATCTTTTTATTATGTTCTAAATTGTTTTAACTGTGTGCTGTTTGAAAAGAATAGGCAAGGGGAAAAACAAGTAATCATCATTGTAGTGATCATCAAAGCTTATAGAGAGGAGAAGAGGAGGCACAGAAATGGTCGATCATCTTGGCCACTCATCCTCTCTCTGCCCTTCTCAGCCTTCCAGTACCTTAAAGTATTTTCTAGCATATGGACTGAAATAATAATAATAATAATAATACTTTATTTATACCCCGCCACCATCTCCCCAAGGGGACTCAGGGCAGCTTACACGAGGCCAAGCCCAGCAATACAGTAAACAATATAATACAAAAAACACAACAGAAAATAAGAAAATAAAAATAACACAAGATACAAAAACCAATATAAATAAACAGAGCAACAATATAAGATCGGAACATTAAAACACAGAAAATTGCTCACAGTGGGCAGGGCCAACTGACACGATTAAAATTTAAAACACTGGAGTTTTAAATTTGAAACTCCAGTGTTTGAAATGGAGAATATAGTTAAATTCTTGAGACATCACCTAGTTGGGATGGTAGGCATTGTGGCTTCTTCAGTACTCTTATTTGTGGCTTGTGAAGTCTAGCTATGATGCATTGGGAATTGGCCTTTCTCTGTTGTGAATATTTTTTTTACTCATCATTCATCAAACACATCTACTTTGCACCCATGGCCTTGCCTCCCTGTGATCATTTTCTAATGATTCAGTGTGGTGGTCCTGATAAGGCCCTATCAAATTTTGCCAAAATGTCCAAAATAATCAAATGATTGTTAAGTAGAAAGGGAAGAACTTATTTCTGCTTGTCTAGATCCCAGCCTATTTTGTAGTTTATAAACAGACACCTTGAAGGAGCTGGGGGTGGTGACGGCCGACAGGGAGCTCTGGCGTGGACTGGTCCATGAGGTCACGAAGAGTCGGAGACGACTGAACGAATGAACAACAACAAACCGACACCACTTTGAGTCAGGATTTGCGTTGTATCAATGGATTCCGACACCAGATTGTCCCATTAAGTAAGTCCATTGCTACTCATGTCTATGCAGGAAGGAGCACAAGAAAATCCTTAGCTATCAATGGGAGTGGACCATTAGAACTTTTTTCCTCTCCATTATGTTACCCCTGTATAAAGGGCTTAGGTTGAATGGAGATAACTATACAGTTTTGAATAGTTTACATTGTTTTAAATTGCTTAAATGGCTAGAGATTTTTGGTTGCTCAATTGTTTTGAAATGCTCCTTATGTTCAAAGATCGTTTTCAGATGCTTTTTCTGGTGATATAGGCAACATCTAAACTTTTGCATAAATAAATAGTTATTTATAGCAGATTTACTGATAGAGGAAAATTTGTCTCCAACACTTGTCTCTTTTGTTTGAAATTGTTATCCTCAGTTCACCTGCAGTCTCAAAAAAAGCAGATCATAATGTTCTCACACGAAAATCTATGCTTTGCATTTTTACTACATGCTTTGCAAGAAGCATCCCAGAAGTGGAACTACATTCCCATTAGTTCTGGTGGCACTTGCAGAAAGAGTGATGATTTATTAGGCAAATGAGACAGCAAGGCCTAGCTGGCTGCATAAGAGGGAACATACGTGCCTGTGAGCAGAATTCTTAAGCAGGGATACTTGGGAAGGAGATGACTCCCAGAATGGAAGAAAGATAGAAACCGTTTTAGACTGAAAAGTTCACTCGTTTGGTATATCAGTATATGGTAACCCCCATATCTGGGGGGGGGGGGATTCAAAAACTGCAGGTTATTTTTTGATTATACATGGGGCAGATACATACGAAACAGTAGCACTGGAAAATAAAAAAAGGCCGTGAACTGTGGATATGGAGTCCATGGATAAGATTATACTCTATATACTCTATATACTAACTGGCACTCCCAGTTGAGACCATGAAAGAAGATTAATATCCAAAGTAGTATTGTACAGATAAATAGAATTTCACATAGCTTATACAATATGACTTACTATTAAGTGGCACAAGCTCGTTCTTTAAAAAATTCTAAATCTGTTTTTTAAGTCCATGTTCCAACTCTCTCTCTAAAAAGTGAGAGCCAACATCTCAATCAGATAAGGGAAGAATTGTGTCTTCTTGTTATCACCAGACTTGGCTTCTTGACGATCTGTATAACCAAAATGTAAGTCTTGCAAAAGCAGTTATAAAACCATTGTCTTGAGGCTGCATCAGTGTGATGAATGTAGCCTTAATTTTCCACACCAAGGAGCCTAAATTTTATGAAATATTTATCATTAGGCATTTTTAGAAGGCAACAAAATTGGAAATAAAAACTTGCTGAGAACCACTGCTTCCAGTCTCAGTCAATAACAGCACAGACAGCAGACATGAAAGAAAGTAAAGTTCAGCATGTACAAATAAACTGTGAGGGTAAACAACCTGCAGATCTCTAGTTTATTATTTCAGTTTAGAACATGGTGTAGGTTTAGCTGATGTGGCTAAGAATACAGAGTGAACTAAAAATGAACACATGTATTCCTTCAGATTTTCTCTGTACAGATCCACATAATTAAAGATGAGCAACACTTAGTGGGGCTACACTTCTATTATATATACAGTTCTTCAATTTTAAACTATTTCATTAAAACAATAAAATTACAAATACAGTAAGCCCTTGCAATCTGCTGGGGTTTGGTCCCAGGACCGTTCACGGATACAAAAATTGTATAAAATCTATTTTATACAATGATACAGTAAAATGTTGTCCCTTATAGAAAATAGCAAAATCAAGGGTTTTGGGATTGGCTGAATCTGTGGATATTCTGCGAACCAACTACAAATAACAATTCTTAAAAAAATGCATAAAATAGCTACCATAGTTATTGGGAAAGGTGTGTTTTAACTCTAGACCAATACTCCACAACAGTGTAAGATAGGACAACTGTAAAAAAAAAACCCCTAATTATACCTACTTAAAATGTTTTATTGTAAAGTTGTTTTATTGTTTGTATATGGTTGTGTTGTTTTAAAATGCTGTGAGCTGCTTTGCATCCCATTTAGGGAGAAAAGCAGGATATAAATAAAGATTTATTATTATTATTATTATTATTATTATTATTATTATTATTACTAATTCTGAGTTCTTCCAACTTAAATTTTAATATTTAATTTTAATTCACTAGTTGCCCTGTGTCAAAGTATACATTTTACTACCATGAGATGCCTTGGTGGCTACCAGTTTGGATAACATTAGAAGGAAATTAGATATAATCATGAAGGAGAAAGCTATTCAAAGCTACTAACCACAATGTTTATGTATAATCTCGTCACATGAGCTGCTGGAATGGTGGGAGTTGAAATCCAAAACACCTGGAGGGAGGGCGCAAGTTTGCCCGGGCCTGGTGTAGAAACACCCCTTGTGAAACTAATACTCCCCTTGGGCTGGATTGTTGTAAGTTTTTTGGGCTATATGGCCATGTTCTAGAAGCATTCTCTCCTGACTTTTTGCCTGCATCTATGGCAGGCATCCTCAGAGGTTGTGAGGACCTCACAACCTCGGAGGATTCCTGACATAGATGCAGGTGAAACGTTAGGAGAGAATGCTTCTACAAAATGGCCATACAGCCCAAAAAACCTACAACAAACCAGTGATTCCAGCCATGAAAGCCTTCGTTCAACAACACAGTTTTCAAACAGTTTCCTCCACACATAGATGGATATACCTTAGGCAATGTTTTACTGAAACATTCACACCTAGCTCCAACAGCAAAGAGTTCTTTCTTCCACCCTGGACATTCCACAGATATATCAACCCAAATTTCCTAGTTCCAACAGGCCTCATAACCTCTGAGGATGCCTGCCATAGAAGCAGGCAAAACGTCAGGAGAGAATGCTTCCAGAACATGGCCATATAGCCCGAAAAACCTACAACAACCCAGTGATTCCAGCCATGGAAACCTTTGACAATACATAGGTATCTTTTGGTTGGACTCTGATCCAGTGAAGCTCTTCACGTATTCCTACTATTCAATTACAAAATGAACTATGGAGATGTCTCCAACTGATAGTCCTTGACGGTAATAATGGCAAGAAATGCTTCCTAAGTGAATTTAAAAGAGATTAACCCCAAAGAGGGACAATGGGTGGGTGGTTGACTGGCTGCCTATATTTGTGGATAAGCATTAAGGGCGACTGCCAAATGAATCTAGAAAACCTAGAATTAAAAGAGGCCGATAAATTAATAGGCAGTGTCACTGAGATAATCATATGGTTTAGCAATTATCCACATGAATCCCATCATAAGGGTAGCAATATAAATAGAAGCATATGCACATTCCAGTCAGACCTGCATTTATTTTGTAGACTAACCACAGAAACAGTAAAATTAAATTTGGAGTGCTGTATTTGGCAGATAGACTTCAAAGATGGGGTGTGCTCTGAAAGGCTTTGAATTTTCAATGACTGTTTAAAAAACAAAAACAAAATCAAAACCCAAGTCTGCTTGGTTTCACTGGATAGCCTTCAATCAAAATGAGGACTGTTTAATTTTAGTTGTTGGTAGAAAATGCCACATCAGCAGCAGCACAGGATAGAAAAGAGAGAGAACCAGTGCCATAGCATGCAGCAAACTGTACCTCATATTCTGATTCCAGTGTCACTTTATTCTTCTTGAGTCTTTCTTCCAAAGCTGGATCAACCTATCAGTTTAAAACAAAATTTATATCAATTATATTTAATTTTTTAAATTAGTTTATGTTGCTAAACTCTCAAATCAATAATTTATGCAAATTATATATATGTAGTCCTGGTAAGGAATGATCAGTATGAAATTCAATTTTTTTCACTTTGGTTGTCTCTACTAGCCTAAGATATCATCATAGAAACATTAATTGTGTTATCATGAATGGTTCATTTAAGATGTCTCAGATGCAATTCCATTCCCAAAATTGGAACTGGAATAGACTGGTAAACCACTAATTGATTTAAATTTATTTAAATTCATGGCTAGATATAATTTTTCTTCATCTTTAATCTAATCTATATTACAAACTGAATAATGCAAAACGACAGGACTCTTCCAAATTAAAAAAAAAAATGATGCCACCTGCAAGTCAACAAGTGAGTTCTACACATTTCTTATTTCAATCAAAAAATTAGGGGTCACATAAAAAATTCTCAGGTGGAAAGAGGTCGTGAACAAATTTGTCAGGTATAAAGGAGTCATGAGTGGTAAAGGTTTAAGAAGCCCTGTCTTAGACTGCCAGTTCTTAACCCTTTATTTCCATGAGCTCCCTTTAAATATATTTTGGCTACATACCACCAAGTTTTAATTCAAGTACATCTCATTTATTTAAAGTTGTTCATCAAGGGTCTTAAAATTTGGAAGAAGAATACACACTATTATATTTCATCCATACATATTTAAGACGGTGGGGGATGATGATGATAGTAATAATAATGATGAACATCAAACCATGGCTTAATACAAACGTTTTCATAATTGCTTTGATCTTGTTGAAGCAACTAAGTTCTCCTCCCTCCAGATGTAGGAGGATTGTCACCTATTGTCTTGATGGCAGTGTGAGGCAGAAACGGAGTGGCACAAACTGACAGTGGGACTCAGTGATCTTCCAGGAAGTCTTGTGGGATTACTCATGGTCCTTGTTGAAGATGGATTCAAAGAGCTTCAGCTTGACCTTCAAATCTGACATAGAAATCCTGACCAAAGGCCTGCTGTGCCACCCAATGGAGACCTAAGTAGGATCTAGCCCCATTTCACTAGCGTTCACTTAATTGACACTGCTCAGTTGGGTAGCAATGGAAGAGGAAGATGAGATAGCTACTGTTGCTGCTTTATTACTGTTGCCATCTGCGAAGCCGCGACTCCCACCGCTTGTTACTAAAAATTTAAAACCGTTCACTTGCTGCCACCAAAATACCCCCCCCCTTCCACCAACCATTGACATCCCCAAACTTGCCGTGACTCCCACCGCTTGTTACTAAAAATTTAAAACCGTTCACTTGCTGCCACCAAAATATGTGAGGAAGTCTCCAAAATGAAATAATGGTGTAAAATCCCAAATAAATAGGATCACCACACAGATGTAATAAAGATTTGAGACTTCTAGCTTAAATTGCCACCATAATATAAGAGATATTGGTAAAAATGATCTCTGGTTATCCTTATCTGTGTTGTGAGGCACCTTGGGTAGTGTGGAATGCTCCAAACGTGGAAATCAGTGAAGGAGGCAAGTTTAAAACACAAAAAGAACAGGTTTATTGTTATCAGAGCGTAAATTGTTGCAAAATTAAACTGTTTAACTTGGCACAAGCTTGATGGATACAAAATGGCTTGGTTGAGTTACATTAAGTCTTCCGATGTTACAATCCTTTAACTCTTTCTACAGTGAGGTACTTTATTATTTCAGTGTTCCCTATTGTGAATATTTACAACTGTTTGTCCTTCACCGGATCAAACCAACGATCTCCAGATTTTCACCACTGGGATCCCTGAAACCCTTTTCTTGTTAGATTCTTTTCTACTCAAGCAATCTAACGAGTTTCCACCTTCAGCTTCCTAGCTGGAATAATATTCACAAAACCTAAGAACTAACTGAATTTACACTACTCCACAGAGCCTCCTTGACTCTGCTACTCTCCTCAGGGTCTCATCCGCCTGACTGAAAATAAACTGTCGCTTTCAAACCTTTTTTACCTAAGCTCCGCCCACCTCCTCTGGCTTGTCACCATGGCAACCTATCTCTCTC